GGGAACCGAGGAAACAGCCACGGGAACCCAAGAGGCCGCACGGAACCGAGGCGCCAAAAGCCACGGGAAGGCCCCCAAGTTCGGAAAACCAGCAGTCACCGTGAGAACCAAGGAGCCATGCACGGAAAACAGGAGCCAACCGTGGAAGCCAAGGAGCCACGGCATGGTAAAACAAACCATCTTGGGATTCCAAAAGCCATTTTGGAATCCCAAGAGACAAACTTTAATTTAAGATAAAAATACTATAATAAAAATTACATTAATTAAGATAACTATTGAACTAAAAACTTAGCTAATACTGAGCTAACCCTTAGTTCAATAAATGAACTAAAGACCAGCTCATAAATGAGCTAAATTCCAGCTCAAATTTGATTGAGCTTGTAAACTCAAGGGAAGCCAAAATCAACTTATTTTGGGTATGAGTTGATCCCCCTTTGTCTACATCACTTTGTTTCTGTTAACCTTAAGAGGATGGTGAAATAATTTGAGCTCTCTAACGGGTACCCTAGAGAATCTCTTGGGTACATAGAGAACAGATTCAACATTTTGAAGGGTATACTTGTAAAAGAGAAGCTTCTCAGTCTCATAGTATTTAATAGTGTAACTTTTGATTACTATAAGAATGATAATGTGGGAGAGTAAGAGATGTGCATGAGAGAGAGTGATATATACGTATGAGTGAGAGATATATAAGAGAAAGAAGATTTATAAGTGAATCAAATTTCTCTTTATATATATATATATATATATATATATATACACACACGCACACAAACTTATCTTTTATATTGATCTATTATCTGTACTTATTTTTCCTTAGAATCTCTTCCTATTCCTTAGCTATTTATTTGTTTTAACCGTTCTTTAGCCGTCAGTAACTATGCGTTAGTTTTCATTGATAGTTTTTAATCTATCTTTTTGTTGTAGATGCATGCTAAGACTTAGTTGTCGGTGTTAGCATAGAGCTATCTTGATTGTCGATGTTTACAGTAACTTAACATTAGTTTTTTAAGGTTTTTATGTAAGTTTACCGTAGTTTTGTCTACAATGTGAGTTTAATTTTAGCTCCAGCAAGTATCTGAAACGTATTTGCATGATTATAAAAGATAAATTGTTAATAAAAGATTCAACATATATTGATGAGGATGATAATAATAATCGGTGATCTATAGAATTTTATTAATTTGATAAGTGTTTAGTCTTAAGTATAAGCAATGAAATGAAGCTTTATGAGTGAAGTATGTCTTATTCTTCTATACTCTAAGTAGCTGGGCTCTTGGGTGGCCAAAACCTTTGATCTATTCTCGTCTCATTTTGGTCAGACTACTTGCATGTCATCAAACGCATATTACGCTTCATAGATAAAGTTAACTTATGATTGTTAGAATTCTTTCTTGATATAGACTCAATATCATTAATTTTGTCCATTTGGCACCATTTTTGAGCTTTTATTTTAATATATAGGTTCGTTAATAATTCAATGAGAACTTTCCCGTGTCCGAATATTTATCAATGACTTGTTTTTATTAGAACTAAGGCACCAATGTTGAATTCCTTATGCTTGTATTTAGAATTGATAAATCTGTTTGCTCTAACATTCTATATTTGTATTATCTAGGATACCTTTGTTCTAGTCTCCTCTAATAAATTAAGATAGTCTATCATTCTTTAAAATTTTGAACCCACTCTGACACTTTTTTGTCGGTTTCTTGTAATAATGTTTTCCTAGTTATGGGTATCCGGGAATAGACTCCATAACGAGTTATGACTTCGTAATTGAATGCTATGGAGAATGGAGTTTTTATGTGAGAATAGGTGTGTAGTCCAATACACCGACAAAATGGATAATGAGAAACTTATTTTCAAATTGATGATGAGTTTATTGATTGTTTCTACTTGTTGACTAGTCTAAGAGTGCTGTATAGAAGAGAACTTCAAATTACTCCATTATTCTCATAGAAATCTGCTAGCTTTTTTTCTAGAGAATCGTGGGTTATTGTTGATAATAACAGTAATAAGAAGATTGAATCTCGTGACCATCTCAACCACAAGAAATATATTTCATTGGTTAAGTATACATCGTGGTGCCCATTTGATGAAGTAATCCACAAACACCAGCACAAACTTGTTGTTTTCAAGATGATATGGGAAAAGAATTGATGAAATCCTTCCTAAATGACAAATGACCAGCGATATATCATTGATTGAAGTGGTTGGCTCAATTGATTATGTTATCATATAATTAATAACTTTTGCACCTCTTGGTAAAGGTCTTTGTATTAAATCTAATATTAAACCCAATTGTATTCCTATTAGAAGATGTTCCTTGCAAGGTTATCTGATATAGAGAGTTTTCACACTCACATGAGTCTATTTCTTCCATTACTTCCTTAGCTTCTTGGTGTTGAAGATGCCTCAAGTTGATTCTCAAAGATCTCCTAAATGTTTCCCCTTGAAGTGAAGTGCCTTATTGATTTTTACTCAAAGATCTCGTTTCTTTTTTTTTTTTTTTTTTTTGTGAAACAATAGTCTATCACTAAAAATGTCTCATCCTCTTCTTCGATGGACAACTTATTTAGTTCCCAAGTAGAGATGACATGAGGATTTGATTACCCATACTCTGCAAATGGTTCTGTAACATTCTTCTCCTCACAAAATATATATTATGGCGTATTAAGTTTGATGATTTTGGCTTGAAATTTCTTGGGATGGTTCCCAAGGATTGAACTCTAAATTTCATAGTTTCTTTGTGCATATTTCACTGTAAGGTATGAATCAGTAATAAATTTAAGTTATTCTGCCTTAACTCCATTAATGAGCTTGAGCCACATTTATTGTGGACTTTCAAGTACAACAACGCAAAATTGGTCTCAGCAGATGCTCCTTTTGTATTCATTGTCTAGACTTCCTCTTCCATTTTTGACGTACGTTGTCTTTTAGTATAGAAAACCAGCTGAAGTTACCGAGCACCTGTGCTTAATCTATTTTTCACTCATTAAGCTTGATAGACCATTTATTCACCTTCTCGAGACCTTGCATTTCTAAAAGTAATTGAGGAAGAAGAATGTCAATCACCTGGATGTTAGTAAGAGAGCTGAATGAAATTTATCTAATGTTGGACAATTTCGATTCTATTTAGAATTTTGTTAAAATTTTAAATTATGTGCTATTTATAGTCTTCTTCCTGAATTATTGTTGAACTCACTACAATAGAATTTACCATCAAGTACAAGAGAAAATTCAATATCGGTGTTGGATTGCATAGAATTAAAATGGTGGTGGGATGTGTATTTAATTGATGGAATGATCTCTCAATCATTATCCTAAACGAAATAGTTTATTTTTTGGAGAGCTTTAAAGAGTGGCATTTTCTTCTTTTGCACTAAAAAGCCGTTTTCGAAAGCTGTCCCAAACGAAGCCTTAATCTATGAAGTTTCGTTGTTTCTTTGTATACTTCTTGGATGGATCTCCATGTCTTTTCTTTTAGTACACATTTAGGCTTCATTTGGGACAGCTTTTTTACTGTTTCTTAAAGCAGTTTTTTAGTGTTAAAATTTTAATTTTTGAACTAGAAAGCCGCTTTAAGAAGCAGTAAAAAAGCCATCCTAGAAGCTGTTGAGCATATTTGAAGAGGGTTTTATACTTTTATGGCTATGAGGCTTTCTACCGCAGCTATTACTCTGCTTGTGATGGCTTGTATCATGCCAATTATTTTTATTCATTCATGAGATTTAGTAGGTGGTTCCTCTACACGTTGCTTGTCGACGTGGTGGTTTATAAGCTACTCCTTTAAGTGACTGTTCATCAGATTTTCTAGCAATCATTGTCGCAATTTTTATGATATTAACAAGGCTTTAATTTATCTCAAACATCTGCTGACTTTTTTTTTGTGTTTGATCATTTAAAATACTCAATTTTATGAATGGTTCTCTTGTTTTTTGTGAGTAGCCAATTCACTACTGGCAAGTGAACTTTGAACTGCATTGAGCTATATATCTAGTCTATGGTGCTGACTCTCCTAATTAGAGAAGATAACTTCCTTTGAGATAGCTTTTTTAATGCTTCTTAAAGCAGCTTTTAAGTGCAAAATTTTTAATTTTTATACTAGAAAACTGTTTTAAGAAGTACCAAGAAAGTCGTCCCAGATGAAGCCTTATTCTTCTTCCATGGTTGAGAATTTGTGTGTTGTGGTTTTTTTTATTGCTATCATTATGCTTCATCCCATCTTGGGAAGTAGATGGCTCATTGGCGACGATTTGGGATTCAATGCTACTCATTATGTTCTCAAACATGTTAAGATGGTCAGTAGGGTTGTTAGTTTCCTTAAGCATCTATGATGGAGGAGTTTTGAATTTTAATAAGATAAGGTCCTATTAAGACTTAAATAGTGTTGTTGTGGATAGTGCTTTTTCTATTTTATTTTGATCTTTGCAGGAGCGGTGTAAGTGAGTTAAGTTGAATCGTGAGTCGGCTCGAATATGACTCGATAAATTATTCGTGAGTTTAATTCAATGAGCTAACGAGCTATACTTGAGCCAATCTTGACTCCACTCATTAGCTCAGAGCGATATGGCCCATTCTGGCTGGTCTTTGAACAACGTTCGGTGTTCGCATAGAATAACTTTGACGTCAATAGTCATAACCTAGCACGTACGTATGTGAGGTATTATTTGTGCTAGTCTAATCCATCATAAAACTAAGCTAGAACATATCGTTTTTCTTCTCTCTATGCTACTATTTTGGTCCTTTGGAAATCTTCCCTCTCAAGTGTGCATAATATGCGTACACTTAATTATAGAGTTCTCTATGAAATTTAACTCATTACACAAAAATGCATCTTGAATATTTTGTAAATGAAATATCTTATTTCCATACAAAACAATTTATATTTGACAAAAATTACATATAATTTATGAGAAAATAAATATTAATTTATTATATTGAAAATTGATCTATATATAAATTATTAATATGAAAATAATTTAAATGACAATTTATTTGAGAAGTATAGCTTTAGTATTCCCAAAAAAAGCATAGCCTTAGTTCCTTATAGGGCCTATATAATAAAGTCGCGTGCAATCTCTATCAGTGCTTATTTCCTTCGCATCTCTCCCCCTTCTTCCTGTCCCAGATTCCTTAGCGACTTAGACCCAGCACTCTACTTCGATTCTTCAAGGACAATCGAAGAGGTATTGCTTCTAACTTTCTCCTTTCTAGCTTGTTATTCTGCTCCAACCTTAGTTGATTTAGGCCATCTGAATAGGTTTTGGCTTTGATGATCTGCGAGTTATTCTGCCCTAAATCGTAGAAAACAAGATCCGTAGCCGTAGCAAAAGTTTGGGTTATGCTGTCGCATCTTTGAAGCAAATCCGAACCCACATATAAGCCCATAAGATGATTCTTGCGGATTCTCCGGCCATTGAACAGAACGGGATTCTGAATCTTGCTAAGGATCAGAATAGAATCCGGAAGCGCGGTGGATCGACAGCGAAGGAACCATCGCCGTCCCGTTGGAAAAACAGTAACCAAAATCGGGTTTACTCGGCTAAGCTATTTGATGCCGTACGCCGCGTGCGCCGAAACGATTCGCCGGTAAAACCACGAGGCCGATCCATCAGGGAGGCTGCAGATCGGGCTCTGGCGGTCACCGATGGTGGCCGGACGCGGTGGGGCAGCGCGATCCTTGCCAGCCGATCTATACGGCGCAAAAATCGTCGAATCCGGCCGGTTTGCGTCGGCGAACCGCGGTCGAAGTTGATGGGCCCAGGAAGGAGAGGAGGGAAGATTCCGGCGGTAGAAGGGAAAATGAAATTTCTCGGCCGGTTGGTTCCGGGATGCCGGAAGCTGTCTCTGCCCTCTCTGCTCCAAGAGGCCGCCGACTACATCGCGGCGCTTCAGATGCAGGTCCGTGCCATGACAAGTCTCACAGAAAAGCTCTCGGGTTTCGCCGGAGCTCCGCTTACGAGTCGACCCGAGTCCGACTCGGGGAGTCCGATTCCCAGTTGAATCCCCGCTCTCTTTCTCTCTCTCTACCTTTCTACGCCTGTTTTTTCCTTTTTTTTTTTTTTGTGCCGTCGGTTATAAAATTCGTAGTCATTTTTGTGTAAATTATTAATTTTTCGTATTTCTTGGAAATATATTTTATCTACATATAGTACTCAAATAACAGCCGGACCGGAAAATGTCGTTGGAAGGAATCATGGGATAAAATGCATGTGTTATATACTAGAGAAAAATATAGGAAAAAAAATAAAATTAATGTTAAAAAATTATTAGTTATTTAAATAATATTTTTTAAATTATAGAAGAATATATATAAACATTTATGTCAATTAATCTAAACTCAAACACTCACTATAAATAATACAAGATACTTGCCGACACTGGTTCCCTTTCGGAGGCAAATCAGAGCACGTTATGTCACCCTTTGTTGTACATGTGACTGTATACCTATGGTTTATCGGGCGATGTAGCGCGATTCGCCTCCGGACATAGGCCTACGTCTGATATCTACACAGAATAATTTCTTCAAGAATGGATCAAATTAGGTTGCTTTAAATAATTTATTGTAAGGTAGACATATATATTTGATATGAGATAATTACGAAGTATTGATGCATCATTTGATGCTCATGAATGGTAGAGATATTTTTTTCCTTCTTGTTATATAGTTGCAATTAATGGATTGTTTTTGTTTGAGTTCGGGTGATTGATGGACTAATTTCATGTGCACAGCGATTGATTAGGCCAGCAATTGCACTTTTTTCTCTAATAATTTATGAGGTTGATGGAGCTATATTTTTTGTCAAGTGGTTGATGTTGTGATTGGCAAGGCTGAAGGTGTAGTTTGAATCTGGTTAGATCCAACTCTTTGACACATTTATTTGAATGAAATTATTTGTCTGCTACAAATATCAAAATCTTAATCTAAAAATGTGTTAATTAATGCTTCGTTTCGGATGGCTTTCTTACTACTTAAAATAAATTTTTTTTTGTATAAAAATTAAGAATTTTGTATTAAAAAATTGCTTTAAGAAGTAGTAAGAAAGTCGTTCTAAATGAAGCCTAAGTTGATTAAACAAATTGAGGTTTCATTTAGGATAATTTTCTTACTATTGTTTAAAATAGCTTTTTAAACCCACGGCGGCTTAGCTCATGTGAGGGGAGCGCGGATGGGCAAAGCTTAGGTCCCGGGCTCAAATCCAATTTGCGGCCGTGATAGCCTTAAATCTTGGCCCGAGTAAATTGGTGTGGGTTGCCTGCTAGGTCGATGGGGTTTTACACGCCGCTTTGCGAAGTGGTTCCTTGTCACAAAAAAAAAAAAGTTTTTTGGTATAAAATTTTTAATTCAGATAATTTTATAGTAAATTTTTTAAAAGAAAAAACTGTGAAAAAGTTGTTTCAAATAAAACTTTAATCTCGATAAAGGATGATGTTTGGATTATTTCTCTTTTAAGATATTTTCATTTGAAAAGTGTTTAGGGATTAAAGTACGTGCCATAAAGTTTTTTTATGTATTTATGTGAGTAATATACAAATATTCATATTTATGTATATAATACTAAAATTTTAAATCATTTAAAAATATTGTTAATGTTAATTTATTTAAATTAAAATATGTTTTAATTTTTATGTTTAGTTGTATTTTTAATATTATGGTGTTATATAAATGAATATAAAGATTAGAGGTTAAATAAATTAAATATAATAATTTGGTGGTTTGCCTGTAAATACCCTAAAAATATTTTGGTGGATTTTCGCTCAAATAAAGATATTTTAGTTGGGAAAATTGTTTTTATGTCTTATAATAGTGGAAGATGGAAATTGTGCTTCATTTTTTATTTTCTGGAGAAAATTTATTCAAAAGCTTATTTTCTTTATTTTCTGAAGAATTATCTATTTGATTTTTTAATTCATCTATCAGAGTCTTTAGTTTTCTTTTAATGAAAAGAAAAGTTAGGAGAAGCAATTTATACATCAAAATCTTTCACAATTATCATTTAACAAAATTACAATAGCATGAAAATTTCTTATAATATCAATCGTATCATTTTCTCTACGCAATTCAGTAATATATATTATGAAATGCAATAACTCTATTACAATCTATGCAATACAATAGAATTTATACACTATTCTTTAGTTTTAAAAAATCATGACTATCAATTTATCCAATGAATTTTAATAATATTACTGTTAAAAGGTCAATAAAAATCACATCTATCACATATGAAAAATTACACTATAAAACTTTGATAAATCAAAAGAAAACATATTTTTATTGATTTTTAAAAAGTTAAAATTATGTAACACAAAATCACTGAAAACAAAAGGTAGGATTCAAGTTACTTATAAATATCATAAGAAATCTCACAACAAATTTGATAGATGAAAATTCTTCTAGTAAGTTTCTTTCTCCTCTCCCCTCTATGTCCTCTTCCTTCCTCTCCCCTCCTCTCTTCATCTCCTTTGTCATTATCTTGCAAGCCAAATGAAATGGGAGAGGAATGGTATTAATTGATATTTATTTTAAATATACATACAAATATTCATTTGTTTCTAGCGCCACGATGCCTGAAACCATAGCATTGGTGTGCTGCATGCTGCACCCTGAGTTACTTTAGAATAGAGAGATTTCAATGCCGTAGTGGCGCTTTCTCGACCTCGTCGCGTTCACAAGCATAACATCATAGCGCTGCATTGTAGACTTCTTATATTTTCAAATAATTTCATTTTATGAAATTCAAAGATGTTACGACATATGATCAATTTGTAGTAAAAAATTTCTTCATTTGTAGCTAATAGTTAAAGCTTTGTGATGTTGCGCATTTGTTAATTTAGGTTAAAAATATCATCAAAATTATTTGTATATTCATACAAGGTTCAAATAATATTCGAAAAAGATTTGAACATAGTTCAAGCAAGGTTCGATAATAATTTAAGAAAAGGTTTGAATTAGATTTTATCTTGGTTTAAACAATATTAGATCATGGGCGAAATAAGATTCAAGCAATGTTCGAGAAAGATTTGAATAAGATTCAAATTGTATTATTTTGCTTTCACTATCTTTTTTGAAAAAGGTTCATTTGAGATGGACTATACATATATAAGCTCTAATTATACATATCGAGAAGCATTACTCTACTGAGGTCATATATAGGAAAAATTATTAGGTGTAGAGTACGCACCGTCCGCACAAAAACTATATACCTAGTGGTACCCAGCAGTACCTAGTAGTACCAAGTGTGGGTACCGCTAGGTACCCAATACTTATGCGGACAATTCTCCCTGTCCGCACTCCGCACCTAATAATCTCTCCATATATAGAACTAGAGGTGGTGGCATGAAAAAAATTGCTAAGTAATTTATGGCGAAAAATCTCATTGTGTCCATTGTTGAAGGTAATGATGTAATATTTGGCATTGTTGAACTTTGCACTAATTAGTGTTTTGACAAATGTGTGATTTAAGTTTAATGCAAAGTTGGACATTTTTTACTTGACAAAAATAGCTTTTTATTATATATATTGAATTATATTCATTTGTGTTATGGATTCTATTTATATTTTTTGAATGAAACAATGTTGTGTTATGAATGTTTACTATAGACTTTGAATTGCACGATATTGTTGATTAATTTAAAAAAAATTATGTAAAAAGTTATAAAAAGAAGTTAAAAAATAAGTACCACTTTATTTAATTATGTTTATTCATCTTTAAAAATATTTTAAAAAATAATCTTAGGAGTCCTTAGTGCTTACCATGGCTTTAAAAATTGGATCAGATCGATCGGTTCCGGTTTGCTTCAAAATTGGTATTGCATAGAACCGGCTCGGAACTGTTCGAACAGGCGGTTCGACCGCCAAACCGTAAAACTGGTCCCGGTTTACGATAACCGGCCGGTTCATCTGCGAAAAATTTTGAACCTTTCGTTGAAGATCGGACGGCTCAAGGAAGCTTATATCAAATAGAAGAAATAAAAAATCCTATCATTCATTCAACGGTTCACATCTTCTTCCCGATTCTTTTGCTCGTTCAAGAAGCCAAGTGATCCCTTCCAACCATCCTGATGCCGAAGACTTCGTAGTTGGAAGGGGTCTCTTTAGGGGTGTCAATTCGGGTCAACCCGTCGGGTTCGGGTCGAACTTGTCCCGATCCGGATCTAAACGGGTCAACCCGAACCCGACCCATTTTTGCAAACGGGTCGGACATTTCAACCCGGACTCGACCCGGCCGAGTTGACCCGACCCGACCCGCGCCGGATTTAGTGGGATCGCGAGCTAGGGTGGAGCGGCCGAGCGGGTTCGCGTCTTCGCGAGCGAGGCGGAGCGGGTTCGCTTCTTCGCGAGCGACGGAGCGAGGGCGGAGGGCGAGCCAGCGAGGGCGGGATCGCGAATCGCGATCGAGGGCGGAGCCGTGGAGCGCGAGCGTGGGCGGGAATGCGAGCGACTACGGGAGGGATCGCGATTCGCGAGCGAGTGCGGGCGAGTAGGCGACCCGTGACTGAGTGAGTAGGGCAGAAACCGGGTGAAACGGGTTGACCCGCGGGTTGTCGGGTCAACCCGGACCCGACCCGTTTTTCAAACGGGTCAAAATTTTGAACCCGAATCCGACCCGTTTAACAAACGGGTTGACCCGAACCCGAATTTTTCGGGTTGGGTTCGGATCGGATCAGAAATTGACACCCCTAGGTCTGTTGATCCTTACTATGTCACGGCTCCTAATGACGTGGGGCCTTTTCGTTCGGCGGTGTCCGTAGGCTTCGAAATAAAATAATAATATATGGCTTGTAGGGTGACGTGGTGTGTTGTTGTCCGTTCGATGAGAAAGGGACCACTGTTTGGCGTGTTCCGACCGAGGGATCCGAGGGTGGTGATGTTGATGATGACGATAGCGAACTGCCGTAAATGGGAGAGATGGCTAGACAAAAACGTGGGGAGTCAATTATTGGAGCTCTTATAACGTCCGAGAAAGTTTTATTACACTGTTTTTTTTTTTAATTTTTTTAAAAGTATTTTAGCTTCTTTGAGACTGCTTTTTTAAATATATTTTTTAGCATGAAAATTAATTTTTATGCTAGAAAGCTAATTTAAAAATTAATAAGAAAGCAGTCAAAGAAAAACCTTAAATGAGAATTTAGAGAGATTATTATGTACGGACATCG